TTGTCCGCAGACAGGTCGCGAACAAACGCCCGAGATCCCCAGACCCGGAACGCCGACGCATCGCCAACCTTCCCCGTCCACAGCAGAGCTGGGGAGGTCTCCGGTCGAGAGACCCTGGGGTGGAGGTTGATGTGGTGCGCAGCGTAACTGACCGCAAACGGCCACAGAAAATGGGGAGCAGCCGCATGCATCATGGACGTACGAGCGACGTCCATGACCATGCTAATGCGGCGCTCAGCAATCCCATTCTGCTGTGGTGAGTCCGGAAGCGTGAAGGTCTGACGGATGCCTCGCGCACGACAGTAGGCACTCAGGAGGCCAGAGGAGAACTCTCCGCCTCTGTCCGAGTGCAGACGCAAAACAGGGAAGTCAGAGCCAAAGCTCCTCCGAAGCTGGAGACGAGCTGCGCGGATCCAGTCGATCAACACCTCAGTGACCTCACCCTTGCTGCGCAAGGGGAAGACTGTGGTGTAACGCGAGTAGTCGTCAACCACCAGCAGGAAGTAGCGCTCCTGACCCTGTCCACGGACGCGGGCTGGGCCCCACACGTCCATGTGAAGCGTCTGCAACGGGGCCTCTGTCGGAGGAAACTGGGAGGAGTGAGGGGCAGCACGCTGGCGCCCCTCGACACAGGGGACACAGGTGGGGCCAGGGCCCGGAGGAAGGGGAGGGAGAGACCGGGGAAGACTAGACACAAGGACTCGCGAGGCCATGCCTCTGAGCCGAAGCAGAGAGGGGTGGCCAAGGCGGTGGTGCCAGAGGAGGGTCTCGTGAGACAGACGACGGCACGAGCAGGGGGCAGACTCAGGACCAGACCTGGACGCTGCAGCAAACACCTGACCAGACTCAGCACCTGGAGGAGAAGCAGTGGTCAGTGTGTACAGGCTCGACCCTGGCCGACGTGTAAACGTAGCCAGGTGGCGACCTGTATCCGCCTCCGTGCAGTGGGTCACCCGCTGACGAGCAGGGGTGAACTGGTGGACACCCGCATCCTGGAGGTCAGCACCACTCACCAAGTTCGTCGAGAACGAGGGGAGGTAAAGACCAGTCAGGGTGCCAGAGGGGGCCGCCGGACACGGGAGGACAGTGGAGAAGCGAGACAGGACAGGCCCCCCAGAGGGGTCAGCCAGGGACACCGCAACCGGCCGACTCAGCGGCGTGAGAGTGGTGCGGTCCCTAAAGAAGGAGCGAGACGCTCCAGAGTCAAGGGTGAAGGTGTGAGAGGCCGAAGCCGACACAGTACCTGAGAGGGCAGACTCACCAGCACCTGAGAGCACAGACGCACTGGCACCTAGAGCAGCAGCCTCACTAGTACCTGACGCGGCAGTACCAATGCCCGGGTCGGGCGGGAAACACCGGTAACAGTCATCCTCATCACTACCAATCGCAGCATACATAGCAGAGAGAATATCATCAAAATCAAGATCATAAATAGCTACACCAGCCCTAGACAGCTCTCCCCAGCGGGGGATCTCAGCTGCCTCCAGAAACTGCTGACGCCAGGCGTCAGTCAGGCGGCCAAAGCAGCGGCGGGCTGTGTGGGCGCCTCCACACCTCTCCCCTGCACGGTCACCGGTGCGAAGAACGTAGGGGCAAGGACCAAGCGCACCACCACGCTGACGCTGCGAGTACCACTCACGGAGCTGCTGAGGGGCGGGGACGGTGCAAGAGCGCTGCTGCTGCTGTGGCTGCTGCTGGCGCTGACCACCCCCAGAGCTGCTCCGCTGGGACGAGCCACTCCGACCCCCGCCTCCACCGCCACCCCCGCCTCCACCGCCACCCCCGTCTCCACCTCCACCTCCCCCTCCAGGACCGTCGCTCCCACCGCTCCCACCGCCTCCTCCGCTACCACCTCCGCCGCCACCTCCGCCTCCACCGCCGCCACCAGTACCTCCACTCCCGCCACCACCCCCACCGCCACCCCCACTCCCCCCGCCACCCCCACCGCCTCCTCCACCGCCCCCTCTAGCTCCACCCGCTCCCTTGCCCCCCTTGCCCTTGCCAGAGCGGCGTCTGCCGCTGGGGGCAGACGCCGCGCCGACCGACTCAAAACCAGTGAGGTCGGCCGCAGCGGCAGAGGCGACAGAGGGCAGCAGGGGGGAAGGACCACACCCCTCAAAGATGGGGGTGCGAGGGTCACCCTGAGAGGCCCCTACAGCGACAATACTCTTCTCAGCCGCTAGCAGGGACTCCTCAAGGAGGTCGACAGTGAGAGTGGTGGGACAGACAGAGAGAAACTGGTCCCTAACGACACGAAGGGACTCAGGGAGACGGGTGACGAGAAAGTAGAGAGTGATGTACATGGGAGGAGGGTTCGCAGCGCGGAACTCAGCAGGAAGGGCAGCGCGGTAGCGGGTGTCACTAGCACGGAGGTGGGTAACGAGGTCAGCGACAGTGGGAAAGGAAGCGAGGTCAGGGAAGAGAAACGGTAGCATGAGGCGGCTAAGGGTAGCGGAGGAAGGGGAGGAGTAACGTGCAACTACAGCGTCGTACAAGGCCTGAGCGGTCTTGCACTGACTAAAGTGGGCACGCTCAGAGGAAGGGAGGTGGCGAGGCACAGCAAGACGTGCAGCAGCATCGCGGGTCGCCCACTTGGAGCGAACGGCAGAGTCAGCATCAGCAGGTGGGGCAGGGACAGCGCCAGAGACAAAGTCAAAGAGAGAGACCTCATCTATCGCATCACACTGTAAGTACAGCTGCAGGTCTTCAATCCAGACGGCAAAGTCAATGGCCCTCCCCTCAGCGTCAAAAGTAAGAACATTGGGGGTGGCCATGGCAGCAGCTGAAAGTCTCACCGGGCTGGGAGAGTCGGGTAGGTCAGCAGCAGAGGAACACAGCTCAGGAACAGCAGCACGGCTCCTCAGGCGGCTCGGGCGGCTCGGGCGGCTCGGGCGGCTCGGGCGGCTCGGGCGGCTCGGGCGGCACGGGCAGCTCGGGCTGCTCGGGCGGTGGCTCGGCCGCAGCTCAGCGGCGGCTCGGGCGGCGGCTCAGGTGGCCCGGGCGGCGGCTCAGGCGGCGGCGGCTCGGCGGCTGCTCGGCTGCTGCTGGGCGGCTCGGCTGATGCTGGGCGGCTCGGCGGGGCCGCGTAGCAGAGGGCGGCGGGGCCGCGTAGCAGAGGGCGGCGGGGCCGCGACCGAAGAGGGCGGCGGGGCCGCGTAGCAAAGGGCGGCAGGGCCGCGTAGCAGAGGGCGGCGGGGCCGATAGAAGAGGGCGGCGGGGCCGCGATCGAAGGGCGGCGGGGCCGCGTAGCAGAGGGCGGCGGGGCCGCGTAGCAGAGGGCGGCGGGGCCGCGTAGTAGAGGGCGGCGGGGCCGCGTAGCAGAGGGCGGCGGGGCCGCGTAGTAGAGGGCGGCGGGGCCGCAATCGAAGGGCGGCGGGGCCGCGTATCAGAGGGCGACGGGGCCGCGTGGCAGAGGGCGGCGGGGCCGCGTAGCCGAGGGCGGCGGGGCCGCGATCGAAGGGCGGCGGTGGGGCCGCGTAGCAGAGGGCGGCGGGGCCGCGATCGAAGGGCGGCGGGGCCGCTAGGGAAGGGCGGCGGAGCCGCTAGGGGAAGGGCGGCGCAACGGGCCGCTAGGGGCGACACGACGGGTCGCTAAAAAAAACGCGCCTCGGGGCGCGGTTCGGTGGGCCCTAGAAGCAGTCCCTAGGAGGGAACCTGCTCTGATACCATGTGGAAACAAAGAACGAGAATGAATGACTATGAAGTGAAGTGAATACAAATAGGAAACCCTAATGTGTTGTACCCCCTATGGGATACCCCACTATAGCCTACACAAACAAGTAAGCTATATGTTCTGACATTTGGACGTTATTTTTAACACTCGTTCTTTACAAATCCAGGTAGTACATCCTATTCCCTTCCCATAGAAACTGGTTTGAGCTCATTCGCGCAAACATGCAGCACGTGACGCTAGTTTGTGCGTTTGCTGGCCTGAATCCGTGCAAGGATAGGCCAGTGCGCAACATGTAACCGTTTCAACATTTGGACGTTATCTTTAACACTCGTTCTTCACAAATCCAGGTAGTACATCCTATTCTCTTCCCATAGAATCTGGTTTGAGCTCGTTCGCGCAAACATGCAGCACGTGACGCTAGTTCGTGCGTTTGCTGGCCTGAATCCGTGCAAGGATAGGCCAGTGCACAACATGTAACCGTTTCAACATTTGGACGTTATTTTTGGGACAATCTCTTCACACATTCAGGTAGTACATCTTATTCCCTTGCCATAAGAACCGGTTTGAGCTCATTCGCAAAACTACGCAGCACGTGATACTTGTTTGTGCGTTTGCAGGTTTGAATCGGCACGGCGTCTAGACACGACTTGAGAAATCAGGGGTTGAGACACAAATGTCAAGATGAGAATGTACCCTAATAGCAAATATCAAATAATGTATTGGCGCAAGTTGTCATTATTGCTTACACGCATATATATCTACCTTGGTTGCATATTGCTAACGAATCCAATTACATGTTGGATGAAGTTGTAAAATAAATTTGCGTGCAGTGCTGACAATAAACGAACTACAAAAAGGGTAGCATTCGTAGTTAATATTGTTGATTTCGAACAGCAAAACGCAATTATCGAATTTGTCAAATTTGTACCTATTTAACAGTTTATAGATTACAGACACAGCCGTTTAATTAACAACAATAAAACCCTGCACAGCAGAACGCGAGATTTCTCAGCGAGGATTAGAACATGAGAGAATTCTTGCAGTAACCCCATCTTGGGCGAAACGGGCGAACCCAGAAACACAAAATCCACGAAGCACAAGCAATTCGGTAGGAGCAGCTTTTCCGTAGCTTTGAATCGATAGCCAATGAAACTCCTGCACGCAATCTCAATCCCTCATCACGTTTCTGACTTACCGCTAAATCCCGAAGCGCCAACCTTGAAAGTAGCTCCACGGTAGGTATGGCGTAACCCTTTAGTCAGTTTACGCCAAGCAGCTTTGAAGCAGCTGAACTAAACGCTACCCCTCCACCCCCGCTGTTTTTGCGATGATTCATCCCCACCTCCCTCTCACACTTTCTTGCCGCATCCCTGCTTCCCCTCATTTCCGCCTGCTTCCCCTCATTTCCGCCTGCTTCCCCTCATTTCCGCCTGCTTCCCCTCATTTCCGCCTGCTTCCCCTCATTTCCGCCTGCTTCCCCTCATTTCCCCCCCTCCTCCTCCTCATACTCCCCTGCCAGGGCAGTGCTTCTCCTCAATTCCCCCCCTGCTTCCCCTCATTACCCCCTCTGCTCCCCCTCATTTCCCACCCTGATTCCCCTCATCCTTCCCCCTCTGCTTCCCCTGCTTCCCCTCAATTCCCCTGTTCTTTCTCCCCCCTCTTCTCCCTTCCCTCTCTCCCATCGTCCCTGTCTCCCCTGTTCCCTACACCCCCCCATCCCTCCCTTCCCTCTCCCAATCTCCTTGCTTCCCTCTCCCCCTCTTCTTGTCACCTCCTTTCCCTCCTCCCCTTCTTCCCTTCTCTTTCTTTCCCTCCACCCCCACTTCCTATCTCCCCTTTACCCTCTCCCCCGTCTTCCTAATCCCTCCCTTCACCCCACCTGCTTTTCTTTATCTCCCCCTTTCCCTTTTCAACCACTTCCTATCTCATCTTTGTTGATTTCCTCTTGTGCGAGTGCTTCACACGACACGACATCCAACCATGACCATGTTCTTATTCCCCCTTCCCCCGCCCTCGCATTCTCTTCCTCTCTCTGGCCATATCAGCGACCACTCTGAATAGTTTGCTTGCTTCACCGCGCATCACCCCATCATCCCAAGCCAAGGCATGCTCGCTGAGCGACGAACCAGCGCCAGTCAGTCGCATAAGCTGTCCCAACCGTGCACAACTGGTGCTCGCTCACTTGCACCAGGTGCAACCGTCGTGACGATCTGAGGCTCGTGGTGAGAACCGAACCTAACCTAGGCGAGCGACTGTGTCCGGCCTTATGAACCATCACTCAAATATCTTAGTGCCTGTTGAATTCCACGGAAGACTAGAACCTGAGCGATGCGTTTGTCGAGCTCAGTGCTGCCTTTACACGGCACGGATCACAACGCTGCTGAATCGCGGTCTCGTGTGCGAGCCATACGCGTGCTCTCGTGTTTGAGCCGCATGAGGGATCTACTAGGGATGGACCAGTCTATCACCGTCATTGTCCCAGTCTCATTGGTTGACGCGCCTAAAGAATCGTCTCAGTTCTTGCGGATTGTTTTTTAGGTGCCTGAAAAAGGATCTACTAGGGCTGGACTGGTCGACCACTGTCCATTGCTCCAGTCTTATTTGTTGACGCGCCGTGGTATCATCTTCAGCAGCATGTAAGTCACAGTTTCGACGCAGCACTCCCACGCTCCTAGGTTTCCTTATTCGGCTGCTTCTGTTTTGTTTTTTTTTTTTTCCATTACTCTCATCCTTCCCTCCCTCCCTCTCACCTCTTCTCTTTCCTCCTCCTTCCTTCCACGCACGCACCTACCCGCTTCTTCATATGCCCCTTGCCTTCCGCTCTCCTCCTCAGCAGTAGGATCCTCTTACCATTCTCCCAACCTTGATCCCACCCGCTTCAATCACTTCTCCCTCCCATACCTCATTCCACCAACCGCATTCGCATCCTTCTTTCCACCCACTCGCTCTCCTATCCCTCTTCGTCTCAGAACCAATCGCAGCGCTGCGTGCGATCAGATCCGCCTCAGTGCATTCAGAAGTGCTCTAAACCACTCTGCACCACTCTGAACTGCCTTGAATCCCGTCCCGCCTGGCAGCCATGGCGTCTTCAGTGCTGAGCCTTCTCGATCGAAGCCCAGACGACCCCATCGCCACTCAGCTCCTTGCCACTCTTGCAAGCAGTAGTAACAGCAGCAGTAGCAGCACCACAGGCAGCAGCACAAGTAGCGGCAGCGCCAGCAGCAGCAGCAGCAGCAGCAGCAGCAGCAGCAGCAGCAGCAGCAGCAGCAGCGGCAGCGCAGGGGGTGCGAGCAGCCCCCTGGAGGCGGAGAGGAAGGTGTTTCCAGCGGTGAAGGGGCGAGCGGCATGCGAGTATGTGAACTACAAGGCGATGGGGCTGTCGCTGTGTGTGGAGGACGGGAAGGTAGCGGCCGTGCACGTGTACAGTGACGTGCATGGATACAAGGCGTTTGCTGGGACCCTCCCCTTCGGACTTAAGTGAGTTGCATGTAGGGCTCACGTCACATGAATGTGACTTTCAAAGTCGCGGGAAGATGGCGGCCATGCACCTGTTTAGCGACGTGCACGTTTACAAGGCGGTCGCTGGGCCGCTTCCGTTTGGACGCAAGTGAGTGCGGCGTGTTCCAGCCAAATTACACGGATGTAGCATGCAAGTTGCATGCTTGTGACACACATTTCACATGCTAAGAGCTGAGATGGTAGCAGTGGTGCATGGGCACTGTTACGGGTACAGTGATGGTTCTGAAATATATATCCCTCCACTCCTCTCCCCTCGCTCAAATTGAGCATGAAGGCCAGGGAGGGGGTACAGGCATTGGATAGCCGGACGTGCAAGCAGGGAGGCGGGGTAGCAGCAACAGCGCCCATGTTAACCCTCATACCCCCACACCTCTCCTCTATCTCCTGCCCTTTCCTCCCCTTTTCTTCCGTCTCGCAGGGTGATAATGTATGCGATGGAGCGGGTGACTGTGCTGGGAAATACAGGTGCAAAGCCAAGGAGGATACAGATGTCGGAAGAGCCGAAGTGGGGGCATTGTTGTCATAATTCATGCCCTTCTCCCCATCATTCAATCCTCACCTCCACACCCCATGCGCTCATCCTTTCTCGCCTCCTGTCAGAGTGAGTATGAAAGCCAAGGAGGTGGTGGCAGCGCTGACATGAAAGCAATGGTGGAAAGCAGCGGGGGCCATAGTAACCCTCATACCCGCACCTCGTCTCGCACTTTTCCACTCCTCCTTCCTCCTCTCTCCCATCCTCCCAGGGTGAGCATGAAAGCCAAGGAGGTGGTGGCAGCGCTGGGGGAACCAGACGTGAAAGCGGGGGGGGGGCAGCAGTGGGGCGGTGACGGTGATATACTCGCAACTGAAGCCGGCGTTGCAGCGAGATATTGGGCTGCAGGTCACGTTTGTGGGGCGCAGCTGGGAAGATGCTGACAATGCTATAGACTGCATCACTCTGTATTTTGCAACGGACAAGTCATGAATCATGACTTTTTTTATGCAGCAAAATGTAATGCAGTGTTACTGTACAGTGCTAACGCCTTGTTAAGAGGTTTCGTAATTGAGAGGCTATAATTCGTAAACTTGGTGCCTAACTATGCGTAGTATCGATGTGGTTTCAAGGGGCGACAAATTTCAGCCTCCACGAGTCGCCATGAATCCTCGCAACGAGTCGCGAAATTTTCAGAGAACGTCAAGGACGCACGGTAGAAAACGGTGAAGAGGAGTTCAGGTTGTGTGCTTTACCCCAACGCACTTCTCACCCTCCCCAACACTGGACTGGACAGCAAGAACGTCGTAGAATGTAGCAGCGACAACCCCCACCATTATTGGAGGTGAGATTGAACGTCGTCAGTCTTATTTCAGCCAAATACAACATACACACACATATTCGTGAACTGGCTAGCGCGCCTCACCGCGACGTCGCTCTATAGTAATGACGAGGCACCCGCGAATCTTCTCATCATGGGCATATCGTGGCCGAAGCAGCGCGCGTCGTCGTTACATTCAGTACATAACATTACGTGGTCATTCTTACAAGCACGTGTCCTTCTCAATCAGAGCTACATATCAGCGACTAGCAGGGCCTCAGATTCGTTTTAGGGTACCCTGAGCACTCAGGGTCCCTTGGAGGTGTAACACTGATCTTCAGTGTTGCCTGCTTAGAAACACTGATTTTTCAGGGCTAGTAAGAAAAAAACACTGATCACACAGGGTGCCTTTTCAAAAAACACTGATAGAATAATTAAAGAAGGGGTGCAGGCCCGGTCGTGATGTGGAGAGCATGAATGAACGAGACCCCCTGCGGCATGGGTCGGCTGGTCGAACCGCACAACCACGCCCTTGCGTGGTGAATCTGATCTGATGCCACCATTCACCACTGGTCCACTCTGGATTTGTGCGCAGCGAGGCCAAGAATAACAAGTGTTGGCAGAAGTCAGAGTCAACGAAGCATTGAAACACCTGGAACAGCCAATCAAATAGCGCCTTTGCGCAAACACTGGCCAAAATTGAGCCGCAGGTTGGCGTCGATCCTCGTTGGGTACATGAATGATGACGGCGCGCCAATATGCGAGAAACACGGAGTTTCGGTTCCAGGGTCAACCCGGATACAACACTGACTCGTCAGTGTCTGCAAACACAAAACACTGAAAATTCAGTGTTCTACAAAATAAAACACTGATCCATCAGGGTCGCTAAAAAAAAAAGGCTGATCCATCAGGGTCGCAATAAAAAACAAGGGTCAAACTTCAGGAATTCAGGGTAAAATTCCTGACATCTGAGGCCCTGGCGACTAGTAGTATTAGCTGTCACTGACAAATCTTTTAGTCTATCAACTAATAGCTGAATCCCATGGCAAAAATCCTCAAGCCCCTGCTGCTCGCCTTTTCGGTGATACTCTGTCTTTCGATGTTTCTCCCCGCATTCGCCGGCCCGGTGCGCGTCGCTCGCACGCGACAGTCGCACGACGAGTACCTCCATCAGCGACAGCTGAGCGACCGTGAGCGAAAACTGACCGACATCGTCGATCGCGGCTCCCGGCCTCCACTGCACCTGGTCGAAACGAAAGCCAGCTTCGACAAGGAGCACCGCGAGGACTCCTCGAAAAAGTGAAGTTGCGAAATTTGGCCTTCGAAGGTTTTTCTGCGTAAACCTTGCGTACAAGTTGCGGGAAGTATCCAAAAACCAACAGACGAAAATCGCAACATTCGGTACACCAGTTGCTTTTCCGTCAACTTTTTCGTGTCAGTCGGTTTTGTACGTTCGAGAGAGATTCCATGCGGTTTTGCAGAGTGACGAGGGCAGTGTAATGTAACCACAAATTAAACGAAACAGATCGAACCCACGAAGTCCAGCGAGGTTCAACAACTGCATACATAGTTTTCGTTCAGTATCCAATCTGAACCCAACCACCCAACCCAACCCACAAATGCTACCTGGTTTTTTCACAAGGGGTGACGTGTGAGCCAAAGAATCGTTGTGAACCAATGATTGTTGTGCTGTGACGAGTCAATCAATATGCACCTTCCGATACCTACACGTCAGCACACCCAACCCAAAAAACGTCCACACAATATCCCCTCACTTTCAACATGGGAATCTTTATCACATGACTCCCCTCCACACCTGTACCTCCGGTACTACCCACACCTACCTCATAATCTCCCCTTGTTGATTTCTAGTGCAATGTTCAGCATTCGCGCTCTCTAGGTTCCTTAGACTAGCAACCAAGCTCTACATGCACGCTTGGTTCTTCAACACCATCACTACGCTGCGTTCGCAAATCTCGTTGTTCACTGTTTTATCTTACTGCACATACATCTTTCAGCACTAAGCACTTCTCACTCTGATATGTACCGTCAATTTTTCCCTCCCACCTCCCTTTCCCCTTTGCGGATTGACGGCTCAACACCTTGCGGACGACATGCATGCATTCGGCGACGCAAAAGCGCCTGTGTCGAGGCTGTCTCGATGATAAAGGTATTTGTATTGTTGGTGAGGCATATGTTTTTACGACGTGATGTTTTGGCCCACATGTCTTGGGTATTATTAACCATGGTGAGGTCTTCATGAGTCGTGCATGGATTCGTGTTTGCTTTTTATTACTCGTGATGTTCGGTTCTTCAATCCGACGTTTGCAACTTACGGTTGCGACTAACACTATCGCTACAGCATACAGTCGTCGGGTGCTTAACCACCGTCGATTTAACCGCCTCGATTTACCATGTTAAGGCTAGCAAAATCTGCATCAGCTGACCCCTCTGGAGCAATGCCAGCAGGATGCACGCTTCGTTTGCATGTGTTGCAGGGCGTAATTGTGTTTGCAGGCTAACCGTCAACCAGAAGCACAAATTGTTTATTTTTCACCGTTACAGCATACTCCTGTCAAGCACCCAAATGGTGAGTGACTTGTTGCTGCTTGTTTACGTATTCTTAACTTCCTCAGTGAGAAACTTAGGAAAGTTGGGTACAAGTACAAACCCTAGAAAGCTGTACCCCATATGTGCTACCCCACTATAGCTTACAGTAGCTATGTCATATAAATGTGAAACACCCCCATAGGCAAAGTGGGGGAGAACAAGGGGTCACAAGACCAGTCAAGCAAAGCAAAGCAAGCTCAGGGTGGATCACAAAGTCACCACACATTCCGAGCACAAGTTCAAGGCCACAAGGTCAGTTCACATGCAGGAGTACATATATATAAAGGACTAGACAAGTAAGAGCAAGTGTATATATATGCAACAGTACAAGCAAGGTCAAGAGGTGAGCAAGTGAGGCAAGACAGGCACAAGACCCAGCTGCGTGCAGAAGCGCTGATGATCACAAGGCGCAAGTGCCTTGGTGAAGACATCAGCAGTGTTGGCCTCAGAGGCCACGTACGCAAGCCGCAACTCACCACGCTGCTGTAGCTCACGAGCAAGGAAGTAGCGAAGAGCAATGTGCTTTGTTCTGTGCTCCAGTCTCTGTTCTCGACACAAGGCCAGCATGGCCTTGTTGTCTACGTACAGGACTGGAGGAGAACGAGGCGACTCTCCAAGGTCGGTCAGCAGGTAGGTGAGTCAGCGAAGCTCCTGTGCAGCCATGGCCCTGGCGTAGATCTCGGCCTCACAACTAGAGCCGAGAACAGAAGACGAGCGAGTAGCCCGCCACGAAACAGAGCCGGAACCAAGGCTGAAGGTGTAACCCTGTGACGACCGCTGCGTAGCCTGGTCGTCAGCCCAAGAAGCGTCCGCGTGCCCAGTGAGGACCACTGGACTCCGCCCTCCAAGCACTAGCCCCATGCCTGACGTACTGCACAAGTAGCGCAACACCCTCTTCGCTGCAGCCATGTGCTATGGTCGGTGTCTACCAGGAGCAACATAGCGTGCGAGAATGCTAAGAGGGTATGCAAGGTCAAGTCGTGTGCAGGTCATCAGGTACATGAGGCAGCCAACAAGCTCTGGATACGGGCCACTCGACTCTACGGACTCATCCGAAGGCAGAGCTGAGAGCGAGTGGCGAGTAGGCAGAGGAGTGGCCTGAGGCGAGGAGTACGTGAAGCCGAAGCGCTGAAGGACCTGCTGCACCATGTGTGACTGAGTCAGAGTAATGGTGCGCTGTGCTCTGTCCCGGGTGATCTACAAGCCAAGGTAGCTGCACAGTTCACCCAGGTCTGTGCACGTGTGTCTCTTCTGCACCTCAGACTTCACGTACGCGAGTCCAGCAGTGTCAGCTGTGGCAAAGACCAAGTCGTCAACGTACACGAGGATGTAGAACGGTGGCAGAGAGGTGTCGGTGCACAGAAACAGCGACGGGTCGGCAGTAGAAGGAGCAAACCCAAGAGCCGCAAGCGTAGTCCTCAGTATGTCGTGCCACTCACGTGGAGCCTGGCGAAGACCGTAGACTGGACGCCGGAGACTCCACTGGGTACCAGGAGGGAAAGACCCAGTGAAGCCATGTGGGCGGCGCAAGAAAGCTGTGCTGAAGTCAAGAGAGTGCAGCTCGTAGTCACGGTGAGCAGCTACGTGCAGCAGTACCCGAAGAGTGGTCATCTTCGGGGTCAGAGAGAAGGTATGAAAGTAGTCAACTCCCTGCCGCTGACTGAAGCCACGAGCCACGTAACGCGCCTTGAAGACAGGCGGAGAACCCGGCGGCCGCTTCACCCTGAAGATCCACATGCCACTGACGATGTTTGCCCCAGGGGGGGGGACAGCATCAACGTAGGTGCCTGTGGACTTCCAGGAGGCCATCTCTGCATCCATAGCTGCCTGCCACTGAGAGGAGTAGGGACCCTCTATCGCCTCCGCGTAAGAGCGCGGAGTTGGGATGTCAAGTGCATCTGGGTCTCCCTCAGGGGTAAGCAGTACGGACACGAGATGAGGTGAAGCAGCTGCCAAGCACTGGAACTCCTCCTGCCTGTCCTCAAGGACGTCCGTGCCAAGGGCACTCATCCC